GAGTCGGGGGCATTACGGAGTCCAGCTTTCTTCTGCTCTTTGAAGCGGTGAAGCCCGTTCAGAGGGATCGGCCGTTGTTTCAATGAAAAGGGATGGAAGCCGTCACGAATCCCATTATGCCGCGGGGACGAATGTCCAACCGTCCAGACAATCCCGCCTCCCTCTGTCTTCTGAAAGACCTTTTTTCCCCCCAAACGATTCTCCTCTCACGCAAGAAAGTCTGAATAATGACTTTTTAATTACACACACACACACACACCCACACACTCACACTACTTGTATCACATTTTATTTTATAGCCGAGGTGAAAGTCTTCTTCCATCCACACGATTCAATTATGAAAGTCATTTATTTCCAAAGCGCTTCCGAAAAATCAGCCTGCGATATTAAAAAAGCTGCATATTTTCATAGTGTCTGTGAGCCTCATGTTCAACCCTCGGCCCTTTGCTGCATCCGTCTCTCTCCGATAAAGGCAAAGAAATCCCCAAAAGAATCTCCATGAATTAATAAACTTCAGCGGCGTAGAGACGCGTCACCTGGTCACCGGAGGACAAAGCCAACAAAATGTCCCGATAAAAACTTGAATTCACCACAAACGTCCCTCTGGTGCCTCTGGGACCTCGGAGCTCTCTGCGGGTCTGGATTCCCTTCATCTGGGAAAACCCGGCCGTCGCCTTGAGCTCCTGGAAGCCCGCGCGCCTGAAGGTCGGTTCTCACGTCACGAAGGTCTACTTTCCACCCAGGAGGCCGTCGGCCCGGATCGGCACAAAGCCGGAGCGTCTGTCCAAACGAAATACTACACTTGTAAAACACACGTGGAACTGATTTGAGCCTTCAACGCAACGACGCCAAAAGTTGTTAATCATGTTTCCTCAAACAGGTTCCAGCTCAAAGGGCTCGTGTAGACGTCACGAAGCTGCTGGGGAAGTGGCTTTTAAAGCTGATATCAAAGCATCTTTGTTCTGCAGTTCCAGAACCATATTAATGCTTTTCTTCTGGGCCTTGTGATGTTTGCATTTCTTTGCTCTTCTCCTCCTTCCCCCTCTTCTGGTTCCCTGGTGATCTGACCCCATACGGGTGTGTGTGCACAGCTCGACGCTCCCTCCATCACCAACGACGGCTTTTGCACGTGCAGCAGTCTTTTTCCTTCTCCAGATGCTTCTGAAGTGGTCTCCTGCCCCCGGTGACCCAGTCTCCAAACCCAGCGCCTCCACCTTCCCTTTTTCCAGAGTTTCCAAGGAGCCAGACTGGCTTCCTTCTCACCTCCGATGTTTATTACACAAACAGCGCCTGGGATCAAATATTCGTACTCCTTCCCTTTCTGGTTGGTGCGAGATGCCGTGTGGAGGGAGTGGGAGGTGGGGAGAGAAGGAGCTGCAGAGTTGTTTGTGTCTCCATCTGACGGGATGAATAATTCACAGCAAAGGGCTCCGTGAATCGCATTAAGAGAATAGTTAGGCCAGTGGGGCAACGGACAACATGGATGCTTGATTGCACACACACACACACACACACACACACACACACACACACGTAGCCGTGAGTAACGTCTTCTTGCAGACCTTTGACTTGACCAGAGGCGACCCCTCTGTGCTGTTTACTTTGGCAGGTTTTTTAATGTATAGAACGTTTTAGGAGTCCCGCTGGGCTTCGGTTGGCTTTAGGTCCGGGTTCCGTGAAACTATTTCAAGATGATCTGCTACATTTCAATGTGAAGTAGCTCCAAACTCCATGAAAGAGTCATTTTAAAGACTCTTAAAGAAACTCTAGTGTACTTTGACGCTCACTAAATCTGTTCTGGGGCAAATCACGTCAACGGGGCCGGAAATGTTAACATTGTTTTATTATGTTCTCAAAACCGCCCCCCCCCCCCCCCGAAACCTTCTCCGGGCCAGATTTTGAACCCCCGGATCCCAAAGGAAACTCTCTTCTGTTTCACGCTGGGGGCCAAAAACCCATGGAATGATCCTTTGAAACACACCCTGACACCCGCTGCTCCCTCGGCGCCGCTCAGAAGATGCCAGGTACCAATAGAGCTGGGGGAGGACCAGGGGGGCGGGACTGTGACTGTGGGGGGGGGGGGTTCTGGGCCCAGTGGGCCGGGTGCAGGAATGTGGAGCTGGGAGGGAACACTTTGCGTGTATGCAATGTAATGCATACACACACACACACACACACACACACACACACACACGCGTGTCATTAGGATCTCTGTACCTGACTAAGTGGATCAATCCTCTCCAGTCACAGAACACACCTGTGTTCACAAGGAAAATACTGACTGTCGCACCCCAATTGGCTCAATTAGAGTCGGGCGGGAAGCCAAGGCGACTCAGAGACTCCGAAATCGCAGCGGGGACAATTTATTTCAAAGACGGTAATTATGCACTTTGAGTCGTGTCATTTTAACCGGTAGAAAGAAACCTTTTGTGCAGGAAAGAGCTGCTGCACATCAACGGAGACAAAAAAAACCAAATCGCTTCCCATTCATTAGAGGGCTCATTGAGAGTTTGTATTCACGACGCCGGCTGAGATGTTTTCCCCACAAAACGAAGACGCGCAGAGCGGTGTGACAGTAAACCTGCGACTTTTCCACGTTTAAATCACATGTTGGTCCTCCGGCTGCCGAAAGCAACGGAAACCACTGATTTTTGAGTAGAAAGGAGCTGAAAATGTGCCGCAGGGGAGAACTTTTGGCCCGTTCCACTAAATGTGCGTTTTCTCCGCCCTGTCTGCAGGTGTGCTGAGCCTGCCGGAGAGTCTCAACCTGCACCGGGACCAGCAGCGCTCAGGGAGGGGGGGCGAGGGTCCGGCGTACAGCCAGGCCGAGCTCCGCACGCTGGAGCAGTCGCTGCTCGCCACCCGGGTGGGCAGCATCGCAGAGCTGAGTGAGTACGCACGCACACACACACACACACACACACCTGTGATGTTGTCGTTGGTAACCCCCACCCCTCCCATTACAGCTGTTCTAACACCTGTCTGTGAGTCACACCCGGAGAACCTTCAGCTCCAAGGTCACTTCCTCTGAGGCTTTTAACCTCGACGGCTCCACCTTTTTGAACTCTGACATCCCACTACCTTCACCCCCCCCCCCCCCCCCTCTCCCCCCGGCCCCCCTCCACCCCCCAACGCCCTCACCACAGTCACGCGTTCATGACCCCGTCCCCATCTGCCCCGCCGAGCACTTTTGTGGTCTTTTCTTGTCACTTGTGGCTGCTGATGATGAGTTGCGTTCAGGTGCATCTGATGAATGTGGGTCCGATTGTCACTCCGGATTCGACTCCTGAGGGAATCTTGTAAACTGGCTCATATTGCTTCTCTTCAGCTCTAATCGGCTTCGTTTCACATTTAGTCATTTCGTTTTGGTTGTAAAGCCAATTTTTGCTTCTCTTTGCTTTAGCGAACGAGCGCGCGGCGTTTTCACTCGGCAGCCTCCGAGTGAGGCACGTTCCGTTGACCTGCTCGGCCCCGGAAGGACAGAAATGGTTGATTTCTGCTCATCGCGCCGCCTCAGCTGGACTTCACCTCACCTCCGGGGGGGGGTCGGGCCGGTTCGAGGCCGCCGGAGGCCGACGCGCGGCTCGTAAACGCAACGCAGTTGATGCCAGCTGCTCGCGGCCGCTTGGTGGATTCCGTTGGCCCCGATTCCCTCCTTATGCTGCGTTGTGCGGCGCACGAGCCGCTGAGTAACCAGAGTGTGAACATGCTCCGTCAAGTGCGTGCTGATCACGAGAGCTGCTAACATGTTCTACCATCTGCTTCTGCGAGGAACCCAGAGGAACAGATCTGCTGGAACTCTCGCACCTTATTCACTGTTGCCTCTCCACGTTAAAAGCGTGGATACTAGGAAGGTAGCTGCACGGGAACGTTCCTGCTAGCAGCTCCAATGGGCCCAGGTCTGGAGATGTGGTCTCTGCACAGCTGTGTCTGCGGGTCTTCTGGTAGCCCGGCGCGCTGGTTTTATGGTAATTACACCAGTGACGTGAGACCTGGACGCGATGCCGGGGGGGGCGAGGGGCCCGTGTCCCCGCGCAGAGCTTTTAAAAGCTGCTCGGGACCAACGTGTTCAAACGGTTTGAATGGAAATCAATTTTCAGCTATTAGCTCGGCGTCTGAACAATAAGCGAGAAACACTTGAAAGTTGAGCGGCAATTTCACACCTGAGTTGTTTGGTAATTAGTTGGCTGATAAAAGAGCCTCATTTATCACTGTATGCCTAATTTCGTTCTCTCAAGGTGGATAAATACGTCTTGTTTCTGGGGTCCCATTGTCTCACCGCTCATTGGATTCCTTGTGTGTGTGTGTGTGTGCGATAGATTGTGACCACGTGTCTCGTCTTTTTCTGTCAGCACAGCAAGTGAAAGGCGACATGTGATGCAGCGCAGGCCTCCGCTCCTGAAGCTGGGTGTGCCTCCAGCGCGGAGGAAGCACTGATGTGTCAAAGTTCTGAACCCGAAGATGTTTATGAAACCAAACCCCAAATCCTAACTGTGCGAGTGTTCTTCGCTCACTGTTAGTGGGGGAGTCACACATTCCTGCTCTGGTTTCAAAGGGCCTTCAAACAAAGGATGCGGCGTGTAATCCAGTTTTTAATCTCATTAATTGCACCGTTTTTTCTCAATGCGGTTAAAACGTATCCGTCCTTAACGCTTTGTGTGGTATCTTCTGAAACAAGATCAACTTTAAGTTGTACGTGGTGTTGCAAATATGTCAGCATTGACTTCACACGGGACAGATGTCTCCTGCGCGACGGCCCAGTGGCTTCGGGACCACCCGACTACGCGGGTCGTATACGGGCGGAGGTGAACAACAGCAGCCTGACTGTTCGCTGACCCGCGGCTGTATGACAGCCGGATCCAGGCGGTGCCAGAGAGAGCGATGCTCGGAAAGCCGGAGATGGATATTATTTAGACTGCGTCAAACCAAAACAACACCATTTTTTCCGTTTTTTCTGGGCTCTCTGACAGCGACTCGAGTACGAGACCACGTCCGCCGAGCAATTTCTTTATCAAAACCCTTTGTGCTGCTGCGCGGGCAACGCGCGGTTCATATGCAGCGATGTGTTTGTCAAAGCGGCAGCTTGGGGACTGATTGCTGTCGTATTGCACCGCTCTCTCTCTGTTACCACGGCAACCACACTTGAGCAAACCATCAGTTTAGGCTAATTTGCACCTTTTTTTTTTTTTAAATATTTGACAGCTAAATACATAATTGTCACTTTGAGTTTGAGGATGATGTGCCGATGTGCGCCGTATTCTCCCCGGCCGGCGGCGGGGCCCGGCCCGAGACGTGAGTCACCGCGTGTTCGCCGGGCCACGGGGAGGCAAAGCGCTTAATTCTTCTGAGGGCTGAGTGGATTCCACAAAGAGAGGAATCCCTCTCGCGCTGCAGAAAACTGCGAGGCAGACGAGGTGGTTTCTTTTTTTTCTCTTCCTACGGTCACAAAAATCAAATTTCCATCCCCAGACAACCGATATTCTCACGGCGGACTGTTAACAAAGAGCTCGCCCTCGCCGTGCTTTTGTAGCGCCCGTACGTTTCCACAGAATGACTCAGACCTCCTACCTGCCGTCGCTGCTCCGCTAACCCACACTCGCTTACCTGGATGTGAGCTAATGGGCTCGCTCGCCCCAACGCAGCAGATCCGGCCCTGGCGAGGGATGTGTCGCGCTTCATTTTTGGAGAACGTCCGCGCCGTTCTCATTTTTCCGCCGCGGTAAAGAGTTAAGAGGACGTCTCCTGCTCGGCCGCGCATCATCCCTCCCGATCTCACGTCTGGCCCACTTCTCAGCGCGGGTGACGGAGAGGAGGAAGTGAGGGTGAAGAATGAATCCGTCCGGACTTCTATTCAAAGTTGAAAAGCTCATTAAGCTGCTTTCAGAGATCAGGTTCTGCATTGAATCCACCCGTCTGACCGCTGCAGCTCCCGATGACAATGTCACCCTCACGTAATGGACGCGTCTCAATGCGCCGCTTGGGAAGGTCTGTAATTTATTCCTCTTCGTTTCGCTAACTCGTGTCCGTCGGCACAGTGGATTATGGAACAATGGGGCGCAGAGGAAGGAATTGTTGACTCGGCGGTTAAGATGAGCCTGGCTCACTCTGCCTCTGGAACGGGAGGCGCCGCCATTTCCCTTATCTGTCTCCCAGCACCTTTTCCAGGAGAGGGAGGGTGTTGGGGGGCGGGGGGGGGGGGGGGGGG